GAAGAAGTAAAATTATTATCTTTCTTTTCTTTTCGAATTACACATTATCTTAGAAATACCTCTCTTCCAAAAATTCTCCGATTTCTAAAAATAATTTCAAAATTTTTTCAGAATTTCCTTCAAAATTTTCCCGCTTTCAAACTTTTCAAGAAAAATATATTATTCCCTTTGAAAAATTTTCTTCCCATCTCAAGATTTCACTGACTGGAAAAAAATAGCGTGCCTCCCGGTGATTATTACCAATAATCGTCGAAACACTTTCCCTCTTTTTGGCCAGCCTTTATTCCAACGCGACGAACGCAGCCACTATCATTATTCACCTGGCAAGAAGAAGAAAGAGTCGTTCCACGCGGCTCTCGTGGTAATTGGTAAGCGGTTCGACACCGGTCAATTATCTTAATGACGAGCTGCGACCGAATCGAGACACCTGGATCGACTGGTAACCGTCCACCCACGTCGAGGCCTCTTCCTCGGACCGAAGGAAGGCAAGCTTGGAAAGCGAACCGACGCGTGTGCCACTTCTTTTATTCCCTCGTCACGTGCTCCACGATTGTTACGAATAATTTCTCTCTAATATACTTGTTACACTGGTTGATTATCACTTTGACTTTTATTCGATTTCTTTTACTTTTTTACACAACTTTAACTTTTACAAACTTTACACAAATTAAAGAAATTATTTTGATCTTCGAAAATTCTTTCCTTGTCTTCTTTCTTCTTCTATTTCCTTTGTCGAGATCACTATTTAGATTCGTTGTCCATCCTTTTTAAAGATATATACACATATATCCATTTCCAATTTTCAAGATTTTCGAATCACACTTTCAAGAGGCAGAATTTTATAACGGAATAACAACTGTATTGCGGTATTCAAATCGCTAAAGAGATGAATCACCGCGCAAGTTACATTTTTTGGATTTCGATGCGTGTTCTTCTTCCGTGTAATCGTCGCCGTTGTTTACGTTCCACGATCGCTCGATTACGTAATATCGCTTAAAAGCAAACGTGACGTTTTCCAGTCGCGATACATCCACGTTCGCGTTCCGCTTCGGATTCCTCGCGTAGCTTGCGTGCTTCTTGCGGCCTCTGTCTTCAAAAAAATTATCGTATATTTGCACGGATGGATCGATTGTTAATGTCTGAGAAAAATAAAATTTAACTTTTTCTCGAATTTAATCGAATATGTTGGAAATTTGTTCGTGTTCCCAAATTGAAATTTCTAATATAACATAATATATTTAAAATTTTTCTCACTTTCACTTTCACATTAAAAATCGAAATTCGCTATTCGTGCTTTTAATTTTTTCCAAGATCGATCGTGAATCGAGACAAAGTAAATAGTGTTCGCTACTTTAGTGTTGGCTTTCTTGGTTAATTGCTCAAAGAGCATACATGGAATACACGTGCTTCACCTCTATCGGTCGTTCTTACGTAAGGGGAAACTTGGACAATATTTCTCTAGATTATCCCAACGATAATTGTTCCATGCGGTGAATATTATCGCGTGTTTACTTTAAGGGACTTCCGTTTGTGGTTTGCACGTCGATAATTGTTACTATTTTCTCACGAATACATGACGCAACAATTCTTCGATAATTTCTTCTTATTCTATAAACATTTGAACAAATTCAATTTATTTCTTGATTATTGAACTATTTTAAAAATTGATTCGAGGTTAGAAGATGATTGTCGGTTAGAAATCTCACAGAATACTTCAAATTTCACTTCAAAATTCTTCTTTCTTTCTTTCTTTCTTTTCCACCACTTCTGTAACAATTTCAAAACACTTTTATAAACACTTGTTTTAGCACGATGAATCGCAATTATCTGAAATTTCCTCTTCTAACTCGTTTCCAAAAAGTTTTTTTCACTTCCCGCACACAATGCAATGCCTACAATTGTTACTTTACACTTGGATCACACTGTACACACAGAAGATCGTCCCGATGTTTGCAGCCAAGACTGAATATCAAATGAAATCGCGATAGATAGGAATGATAAATTTTTGCTGCCCGACGTTTATAAACTAGTTACTTAGACGAGTTAAGTAACTTTTTCCAAGGCACAATTAAAGACGGCGACGATTCGAGGATAACACACAGCCGACTCGACGACGATCGAAATGCGTCATCGACTAATTAACCGACGCTTGCTAGCGTCATTAGCATAATTATCAGGAGTGGACAAAACGCGGGGCGATTCAGAGGTCGGCGGGCCTCCACGGTTGACCGGAAGTCGATGTTCCTCGCGGTGTTTTGCGTTTTAATCGTATTTTCAATGATTTAAAATAGCATGTGTATTCATAAATCGTTCAAATATATTCATATGCATTTATATAAATCATGTGTGAAGAACAAGCTCGACTCGTGACAATTCTTATTTTATCATTCAGATAAAATAGATAGAATTAATAATCCTTTTTTATTTTCTTTCAAAAACTATCTCTAGTTGTATCTTGTTACATTGCATTAGAGCGTATTAACATTGAAGACGGAAAAAAAAAAAAATATGTAATTTTCACATTTTGCAGGAATTAACTTAAAATTTCCCAAGAATATATATATATATATATATATATATATATATATATAGAGAGAGAGAGAGAGAGAGAGAGAGAAGAA